GTACAAAAAAAATTTACAGAACACCAAATAGACTGGACCAAAAAAAATCACCTCATCATATAACAATCAAAACATAAAACATACATACCAAAATTAAATCAAGACCAGGTGAACATTTAAATATACCCATAACCTGCAAGAAACTAGAAACAGTAATCAAAAACCTCCCAACCAAAAAAAAACTAAGAACCAGATGGTTTCAGTGAAGAATTCTACCAGAATTTCAAAGAAGAGCTAATAACCTTTACTTCTCAAAGTGTTCTACATAATAGAAACAAAAGGTACATTGCCAACTTCTTTTTATGAGGCTACACTTACCCTGATCTCACAACTACATAAAGATTTAACTAAGAAAGAGAATTACAGACCAATCTCCCTTATGATTATAGACGCAAAACTACTTGATAAAATACTGGTAAACCAAACCCAAGAACACATCAAAAAAAATCATATACCATGATCAAATCAGTTTCATCTCAGAGATGCAGGGATGATTCAACATACGAAAATCTATCAATGTGATCCACCATATAAACTAAAAGAAAAAAATATTATCATCTCATTAGATGCTGAAAAGGCATTTGACACAATTCAATACCCCTTCATTATAAAGGTCCTGGTGAGATCAGGGATACAAGGAACATATCTAAACATAATGAAGGCAATATACAGAAAGCTGATAGTCAACCCCAAATTAAATGGAGAGAAACTCAAAGTGATTCCACTAAAGTCAGGAACAACACAAGGCTGTCCACTCTCTCCATATCTATTCAACATAGTTCTTAATGTTCTGGCAAGAGCAAAAGTAGATCAAGGGGATACAAATTGGAAAGGAAGAAGTCAAATTTTGCTATTTGCAGATGTTTTGATAGTATACATAAATGACTCCAAAAACTCTACCAGGGAACTCCTACAGCTAATAAACACCTTCAGTGATGTGGCAGGATACAAGATCCACTAAAAAGAATCAGTAGCCCTCCTATGAAGAAGATGTGAAAGAAATAAGAGAAACATCACCCTTAACAATAGCCAAAAATAACATAAAATATCTTGGGGTAATAGGAATCAAAAAGTGAAAGACCTTTTCATCATGAACTTTAAGTTTTTGAAGAAAGAAATTGAAAAAGATACCAGAAAATGAAAAGATCTCCCAAGCTCATAGGTAGGATCAACATAATAAAAAAAATGGCAATCCTACCAAAAACAATCTGGAGATTCAATGCAATCCCCATAAAAATCCCAACACAATTCTTCAAAGACCATGAAAAAATAATAATCAACTTCATATGGAAAAACAAAAAATCAAGGTAGTCAAAGCAATCCTGTACAATAAAGGAAGTTCTGGAGGCGTCACAATTCCTGACATCAAGATCTGTTACAGAGCTACAATAATGAAAACAGCTTGGTATTGGTGTAAAAACAGACAGGTTGACCAATGGAATTAAATCAAAGACCCAGATATTAATTCATACACCTATGAACATCTAATTTTTGACAGAGAAGATAAAATTATACAATGGAAAAAAGAAAGTATTTTCAACAAATGGTGCTGGCATAACTGGATGTCAACATGTAGAAGAATGAAAACAGATCCATAGCTATCACCATGCACAAAACTCAAGTCCAAATAGATTAAAGGACTAAATATAAATCTGACCACATTAAATATAAATCCTGATAGATGAGAAAGTGGGAAGTAGCCTTCAACACATGGGCACAAGAGACTGCTTCCTAAACACTGAAAGCAAAAATAAATAAATGGAACCTCCTGAAACTGAGAAACTTCTGTATATATGTATATATATATATATATATATATATATATATATATATATATCCACCTGGAAAGGGGAAAGACAAGACTGTCTGAAAAAATTGGAAGCATGGGTGTTGGGGGACAAGGGAGGACAGAAGGGGAAGTGGAGGGGAGAAGAGGAGGGGGTAGGAGAACTTGAGGGACGGGACAGTTGAGATGGAGGAAAGACAGAGATAAGAGCAAGGAAAGACATATTTTGATTGAGGGAGCCAGTATGGAGTTATCAAGAAATCAGACACTAGAGAAATTCAGAGGAATCCACAAGGATGACCCCAGCTAAAATCCAGCAATAAAGGAGAGGGTGCCGGAACTGGCCTTGCCCTTTATTCAGACTGATGAATATCTTAAATGCTACCATAGAACCTTCATCCAGCAACTAGTGGAGGCTGAGGCAGAGATCTGCGGTGGAGCATTGGGCTGAGCTCCCAAAGTCCAGTTATAGAGTGGGTGGCAGTTGTAAGGCTGAGGCAGATTGCTTTATCATTATTATATATTATAATATATTATATATGTTATACTTATTATATACTCTGTGCTGGTAGTATTTAATTAGTGGTTTAAATACAGGGTCTTGAAAGTGTCTCAGGATGCCCTCTAATTCATCAAATCCCTGCCTCTGGCTTATATGTAAGCCATACATATATGGTATATACATCAGCATGCACATAGTCTTGTCATTAGAAATTCAGGGGAAAAGAGAAAGCAATTGAAACAATACTTGAATAAATAATGACAAAAATCATCACCAAGTTGATAAAACATATAAAGTGGCAGTTACAGTACCTTGCAA